GAAGGCTGGGTGCTTCCTGAGAAAGCTGAGAAACACTGCCCTGGAGGCTGTGCTCAAAGCCAGGTTTTCATTAATCCCAATCCCATCCTCACCACACTTTTTAGACCTTGCATTTAGGCTTTTCATGTACATTAGTAGTTGTTCCTGTGAGGGAGACAAATGCAAGTGTCATCAAGAGACTTAAGGTCACAGATGAAACCTGCTTCAACACCAGTACTTGAAGGCGTATCTACTGATTCTTAGATCTGATGTCCACCCGATTTGTCAAAGTCACATAAACTCTTCTTGTCACATTAGCTAGAACTATTTACGCTTGGTCAAACTACTCTCTGATTTTATAACATCAGCAATCAGTAACTAACAGCACCCCAGCCTGTAGGACAACCACAGCGGCTATGTGACTATAGGCAGCTTTTCTACCTTTCACTTTTGTATGGTGAACCATTGTCATTCAACAGAAGTCCCAAAGGAAATGAATGTTGCAGTGCCTAATTATTAGGATCTTTGCCCCTAATTCTAGAAGAATTAAGAGCACCCCAGTCATATAGTACGTAGTTAAACTTGGATACTTTGAAAATAGATCCAGAAAGGCTGTTACACTGAGAAGAAACACTGAAGACCAGCAGCTGGGGATGCTGAGGAGAGTGATGATATGCCTCTGTGCTTCAGGGGCTGAGGTAATTTTCTGCACTTTTGGCTCAGACCCAGTTCTGCCCTACAGCTGAGCCTGTGAGTGATTTATACCAACTGAGAAGGGCCACACTTTGTTCCAAATAGTTCCAAGACAGCAAGAAGAGGCCAATGATTGTGCCTGTGCTGCTTTCCGTCTACTAACTCAGGGCTTAAACACCCCCTCAAGATGTGAGAAACACAGATTCATTCCCCTCTTCCAGTCCGACCTTGTGTCACCCTTTGCTCTGACACCACCTACCCTGTAAATCTACACAGTTATGTACACTCCTGAAGTTCCTTTCTTGCTTGTGAGCATGCTCCAAATGTCTTCAGTGGGCAGGAGTGGCAGCACTTCATCCTCAGGGATAAGGCACTGCTGTAGCTCTTGACCTTTTTTGGTGGGGAAGAGAAAGAGATGGGCTTAATTTTTTTCTGACAAAGAACTCAGCCCGTGCCTTTCGCATTTGAGTGAGTATTCTAAAATGCACAGCTGAAACCATTTGGCAAAACCACAAATTCTGCAATAAGTATACTTGGGTTAATTTTCAACAATTTAGAATAAAGGTCAAAGTTTAAGCGTATGGTATCAGTCATTTCTTCTGAAAACCTTTTCAAAACTGTAAGTACCTAATTGTTTTGCCATGGGAATATTTTCCTTTGTCTCAATCTAACATTAGTGTAATTGCATTTGAGTAACAGTTTGAACTGTGCCTAGTAAAACAAGATTTCAGAATGCTTTTTGCTACTGGAAAAATAAATTAGTTAAAAATTCTGACATTATAATTGCCCTCTGCTTGGTTACCTCATGTGATTTTTAATCCTGTTAGTAAACAAAACAAGGACTTACCAGTTTATCCGTATGACTAAGCTGAGCCAAATGGAAGATGCATTTTACATTGAAAATAGGATGTCCCCTTGGGACTCAGGCAAGGCAACTTGCAGAATATTGCTTCCTAGACATTTAAATCCAGATATTTGTGTGCTTTTGTTCTCTTTCTTATTGGTTAGATAAGGTGAAATGTGGTTTAAAACTATAAAATGTATTTATGGGTTTGTGTAGGACAAATGGGTCCAAACTCGTGTCTCTCAATGCTAGCCTGGCCACTGTTGTCAACCACACTGAATATGCCTGCTTTAATCCACACAGGATGTATCATCTGCTTTGTTTTTAAGCCAACCTCATTCAGCCCAAGTTACATCAGCTGTACTTCAGGCATCTGCGTTGTAGCTGTAGCCTGGACTAAAACTGTCCACACTCTGCACTTTAGTTCTTTGTGCACTACATAAAGTGGTTGTCTTCTAGAAACAAGTCTTCTGATTACTTGTCTGTCTTTCTGGTTGCCTGTGGAAGTTTAGTCCAGTAGTGGAGATGGCTGGAAGAGGCAGTTGTGATGTTACTGGTAACTAACTTTATGGCTAACTGCCATAAATAGGTTCCAAACTCAGTGCAGAAGCGGAAGGAGTAAGATCCTATAAGGAGGGATTTTATTGACCTCTTCCCTGAAATTTCAGTGGACATTGGAGGCTTATGAGCAGGATTCAAGTGTAGGTGTTTACATGATAGCTGGTAGGTCAATCGGAACCCGAGGGCAAACTTTTGCATAAATATATAGTCTCACCCGACCTGTGCAAATTCCTCAAGTGGTTTGCTACAAAACTTAGTCACAATGTGAATGTCCTAGTATCATAAGCTACCTCTCCTCCGCTCTGCTAAATACTGATGGATGTTCACTGGAGGAGATAATTTCCTTACAGCTGTGCTGACCCTAGGAGGCCAGCTGTGTTCAGGGCTGGCCTGGGCATCTTAGGTTAGGGCTTGAGACCATAGTTCCACAAATATTTCAGGTGACACTGGTGCTCAGATGGGCAGGTTTCATTCTCCATCCTTTCCTACTCTGCTTTCTCCCCCACTTTCTCCTCTCTTTTCATGTTCTTGGCTCCACTTTCCTACTCTTTTGCTTACGTGGGTGTGACACTTGTTGAACCATTCTGCAGGCCAAATCAGTTCACTACCTGGAAAACAATCTTTTTGCTGCATTAAATTTCTGCCTGTTTAATGAGTTAAAAAGGTTTGCAGAAGAGCCTGGAGTGGAAGAGTGGAAGAAAGGTAAAGCAACATGAATGCACAACAGAGAGCAGGGAGATGGGAGTGTGAACATTATTGGTTCACCTTTAGGCACAGAAATGATAGTCTGAGTTCTAACCTGGATTTAAAGTGTGGTGTAAATGCGCCTGAGCTGAGCGAGTTACGCACCTACATCTCTCTGATAATCTAGGCTGTTAGGCTGTGTTGGCTTCAGTTCCATTTGACCAAGTGTGACTGCAAAAATATTTTAAAGCTGGGGAAAACAACCTCAGGAACATAGCTGGAAATAATAATTCTATTTTGTTATTCAATTAATAATCTTAATAATCTTCCCAATAAAAAAATGGATTGAAATGCATTTTTTATACCATAATTTATGTTTTGAGGGAAGGTGATAAAAAGTAAAGGCAAACATTGCCCTTTTCTCATCTGTAATTGTATGAGGGGCAGTGTGATGTTTCTGATGCGCCAAGAGAAACTTGGGCAGAGGTTGCTGGCTGATTTCTTTTAACACCAGAAGAGAAAACCTGTAATTAGCCAGATGATGTTCCCTGTCTATGTTAGTGAAATGCAGGGACTGGTATAGTAAGGGACAGAATCCCATTGCCAACTCCTAGGAGCAGAAGAGGACAGACATAGGGGACTGCAATCTTTGTTCTGTTGCTTACCTTTTGGCATCACAGGTGGGCTACAATCTGAGTAAAGCAGTGTAAAGATAAGGCATAAACGATTCCCTGGGATATAAACTTTTATGCCAAATTGCAAAGAAAGTGCAAAGCTGTATGAGCACAGTTTAGTACTGGTGATTGAACACAGCTTGTGTAAGGGTCTTTAAGCAAAGCAGAAATCCAAACTATTTATATATCATAGCTAATTGTCCAAGTTGCTGACCACCTACACTTAATTGTAAAGTTAGTATTTCCAGGAAGGCTATAATAATGCATTACACTTTTAGAGACTGAAAATGAGGAGGTAGCTGTAGAAGGAGTTAATAGCCATGAATTTGCTAGGAAACAAGTTACTTAAGAAATACATTTGAGAGGATTAACATTGCTGTAGAAATTAGTGTTTCAAGAGATTGACTGGGGGGGGTGTTGGGTTGAAGAATGTGAAAGGCAATTCAGTCTTATTGGTGGGCTTGTCAAGGACAACTTGCTTCCCAGCTGTGGCTCCATGAAGTGGAAAACATAGAGAAGAGCAGGTGCCACAAGATCACACTTGGAAAGTGTATCCGAGATGAAAAAGAGGAAATTAACCTATATCCGTCCCAAATGTAAGGTAGGGCTCTGACTTGCCCTTGTTTTTTTTCAGCTTACCCCATCAGGCAGATGTGTAGGGGCTTTTACACTAAGTATATTCCAAGTCCCCGGAATATATTGCTCCTTTTTTGAACACATTTTTGGAAAATATGTAAGATGTGTAAGAAAGCAAGTGGCTTGATGCTACCAGAAGCTCTAACCATCAAGTCAAGATGGCGATGGCTAAAAGTAGGCAGACAAATAAAAAGGGATGTTTTTACAAATCTTGGGAGGGGAAGCAGAATGGAGTCTGTTTGTTTCCACTTAGAACTTAATTTGATCTGGTGGTTTTGGTTTTATTTTTTCTCCGTCTAATTTTAGTGCCAAGATATTAGTCTTCAATACAGTTTCTGTTAAAATTAAGAAATTTACATTGATGCCAGTGAAAGAGGGGAGAGCTCAATAGAACATGCAGAGCAGAACTAAATGTCGTTTTTATGGCTAGGAAGGACAGGCATAGTAAATAAAGACCACGGAGACAGGTATACGTCAGTCAAACGTATAGGTCTTCATAGTCCTGTCTCCCACAGTGGTCAGTACCAAATGCTTGTGAAGAAGACTGAAAAGCTGTATTACAGACAAACTAGCTTGCCCTCAGAACGTCTCTTTTCTCTGTTCTTTGCTTACTGGTTGTATGCTGCTGTCAGCAGTCAGTATTTGATGAGAAATAGCTAGCTGTTATATTGCTAACATTCACATGTCAAATTTTCTCGATTAGAATAAAGTTTATAGGCTTGTAGCTTTTGTTGGAATCCAGTTTTGTTGGAATCCAGTTTGCATTTATTTAAGGAAGAAGCTCAAATATTAAATATCATAGAAGGAATCTGATTTTTTGCAAACATGGGACAAAAATGTTTCTTTTCTTCTTTTGTCTTTTTCAATGCTGTAATAGGAGCTTTGGACAGACTCAGAAACAGACATCAGGATCAATTAAAAAAGGCAACATGAAAGAAGCTGAGAAGCCACGTGCAGGGGACAAATTCTGCTGCATTTCCAAGCTGAAGGTATAGAAATATTTTAGCAATTTTTTATGAACACACAAGTTTAATTGCTTGCACTTATAGTGGTTTGGTAGAAGTTACAATCTAGACTAAATGAATGAATAGGTTCTGTTTCTTTCCTTATCCTTAATGCCTTAACTGAGGTCAAGCAAGTTTGTAAGCAATCATGTGTTGCTTTTTATGTCCCTGAACTTTACACTCTGTGATGTATTAGAGGTATGGTTGGTTGGTCCTTTGAAGCTCCACCTCTGAATTTGTGTAATCCCCCTAGTCTGACGTGTTTAGCATTCCTTCTTAAACCTGTGAAATGAGCCTTACCGATTGTGACATGGCAGTAAAAATTGGCTGTTGATGTACCCTAGACTATTCAAGTTGTCAAGAAGCTCTATAAAAGGTTGTAAAATAGCTTGGTTTTAACAGTAATTTAAAGCCCAAATACATTACTTAAGCTTTTTAGCATTTGCAGCAGATGTATTTAAAAATACTACAGATTTTATTTCAAAATACTGTTTATTAAGAACCCTAAAGTTAAAAGGATTTGAATACTACTGTATATATTCTTTTTTTTTTTTTTTACTGTGAATTGCTACTAGATTCTTGTAGAAAGGACACACTATTTACTACTTCTGTTTGAAATTACTTGTTCTGAGCTCATGACCTCTACTGAGGTGGGAGAGCAGATGCTTGATCAAGTAATTCAATCAAAGAAAACAATCTTAGTTCTGCAAGTAATTAATCATTCAGATGAGCAAAGGGTGTGAAGGTCTTTGCACCCTGGTCTGGCTGCAGACGTTATGCAGTCCTGCAGATGGCAATCTTGCAGCAGACACAGTGTGGGAGAGGTTGTGCTGCACCTGTCTTGGCTGGGGAAACGGGGCTTAAGGTTTCTGAAGACAGTCTTGGTCAATGGGAGCTGGTGAAGAACAAAATCTTTCTTCATTTTTTTGGTTTAGTGAAGCCATAACTCTGTGGATAAAGATAGGTCATGGGATTTCAATTTGTATTTACACACATATCAGTGGATCAAGACTGTTCACTTGTTTTATCTGGAAGCACATCTTTAGTGGGGAAAATAATGATGGAACATTCCTGAATATATAACTTTGAATATCTTATGCATTCTCCTCTTTCCTTACTAGGTATTTCTGCTGGTGCTATCACTTGCATTTGTTGGTAAAACAATGTCTGGTGCTTACATGAACAGCATGTACACACAGATCAAGAAACAATTTAATATTCCAGCTTCTTTAGTGGGGATCATTAATGGAAGCTTTGAAATTGGTAATCACTCATTTTAATATTTCTTGTTCTTTGAAAATATAATATGTTGGCTGAGCATGTATTAATGACTCTCATGTCCACAGCAATCTGTCAATTGCTGTATGTGACAATGGTGACCGAATCTATCCTACCATTTCAGCTGGTACTTACATATTTACTGTCTTGGAAACTAGCAGGACAACTTAAATGAGGAAGTTTAGGATTAAAAACCGGTTCATCTAATTTCTGCACTATCTTAAGATATGACAGAGCAGCTAACACAATAGAACTACTATATGAACTTTATATTGAATCAACTAACAAACCAGAAAGATTTTATAAACTTTGTTTGAGTTTAAGGTCATATTTAGCGTTTTACACTTCTTTTGATCAGTGACCTCAAAGTTGGTTGGAGTGGATTGTCTCCGTACTCAAACTCAAAAATATTTCAAGATTTCATACCTATGACTGTAAAGAACGTTTCCGGTTCCACTGTTAGTGACCCTTACCTTGCCTATCAGTGAATTTTATTGCCCAGTGACAGGCTTATGCCTTGTCATGGCCACAAAAACCAAACAAAAGGCTTGATAGCTTCAAACCCATCTAAATAGAGATTCTCAGAGGATGTGTTTTATACCCTTAAAGTCACAATGTGGATATTTATTATCCCTGGCTCAGCTGAGGAAATGGCTCATATACACTGGTGGGGAGGGGAGACAAGGCTCCTTCCCTCGCTTTTCCTGGCCTCCTATATCTGCATGTGCAAGAAGAAGAAACTGTTGGCAACACCGTGCTGCTGCCTGCAAAGCAGTCTGATGATAGAGAAGGAATACCCAGAATATATTCTTGCTTTTGATAAGGAGGAGACTTTAAGAAATATGAAATGGCCAAGATTAATAAAGTAGTATGTAAAAGGCTTATTATTTTAAATAAATTATCCTCTCATATACACTTTTCTATAACAAGTTGTGGCATTCTTCTCTCCAAGGATGTAAAATAACTGTGAATAATCACATTAATAAGAGTCAGTGTATGTGGCAGACATAGGGAACTCATTAGGACCGTGTAAGTGTACATCTTTAAGTGTCATTCAAGCCACTGGTTCAATACGGTCTGTCCAGCAATCATACATAAAAAAGATGTTATCTTCCTTCAGAGAATGATGCTCATCACTCAGAGACATGGTTTTGTTCTTTTGACAAAAAGATCACAAAATTAGCAGGTGTACAATTACTAAATTGTTATTTTTATGGGACCTGATTCATAACATGAAGCTTGATTCTTTTCTTAGTTGCATAGCAATAAATGAAGAATATAGAAAATCAACTGATTCTGAAGTGGAAGTGGAGGAGAAGAGACTGAAGATTTTTAGCCCATTTGTATTTTTAAATGGTACTAGGTACAAAAATCTGTATTTTTTTATTCCTTTTAAACTATTACTGAAATTAATATTAATTTGTTATTCTTTTTTTCTTTGTTTGTCATCTTGTGTTTATTATTTTCAGTACAAAAACACTTGAGTATATACTTCTGTATTTTCCCACACATTGCAAAATAGAGTATCCTAGGAGAATAACTTCCTAAACCAGCTATTATTCTGCAGCCCCTGGGCCTGGTCTCTATGTAAAGTAGTGGGAAATTTCTTCTTTACATAGGTGCAGTCAAAAGTCTCTTTCATCATGATCTCTTTTCCGTTCTGCCTTCTGTTCTCATGTTCTTTCCACGTGGTGTAATTCTCCCAGAAAAAGATCACATATAGGAGGGAATTACTGCATCGTTTAGGCAGTTCCCTGTCTAGTTAGTTTTTACAAGACGGAAGGTAACAGATGTTGAGCTAACAAGGTATACTCAAATTTCTGTCGCACTTTAAAAGATATAAAGATGCCTTGGTTTGTAAATAAGGACCAAGTTCTTTTTGCAGGCAACTTGCTGCTGATAGCATTTGTGAGTTACTTTGGAGCAAAGCTTCACAGACCCAGAAAAATTGCTTTGGGCTGCACAATTCTGTCATTTGGATGTCTTTTGATATCACTTCCTCATTTCCTGTTTGGAAGGTGAGTATTTTGCTTAGCTCGCAGCAGCTTCTGTGATCCTTACTTGCCTTAATCCATAACTTCTCCCTTGAAATAGTATTGCTTATTGAGAGAGACATTGCTGAGCACGGGTACAGTATGATAATTGTAGAGCAGCTTGTTTTGTTTTGCTTCTGAGATGGCTTCAAAAGTCAGTCATCACTTCTTAAGTAGAGTCACCCCTCTGCTGGGCACCTTTGCCTTGCCTTGTGCTACCTCTTGTGTGGACTCTCTGAAGAAACAGTGGCCTGTGATACTGTCACATTACATTACTAGCTCTTATCTGCTTGGATGGGCAGTACAAGATGATTTTTAAAGATGTCTTTGGTCTGGAGCCTGGATGACAGATCTTACCTGATTGCCGTGTTGGCAAGGCCTTTACAGACCATAATGATTCTTTTAACCACTTTTTCACTTTTTTTGCTTGGCTTAACAAAACAATCATTTAGGCTTGTCTATATTTTAATCAGTGAGATATCTTCTGAGAAAAGAAGATCCTCTAATCTTGTTATGTCCAATGTGGTATGGCTCTGACAGCCTTGGTGGCACCCTCTGCTTGGGGTGTAAATTGGGTTAGGATGTAAGAAGAGTAGGAGAGAAGATGGTAGGAGGGATTTCGTTAGGGTGTTTCATCAACTTCTCCTGAAGCATCTGTTACAAGATTATGTTAGAGGCTAGATAACAGTCTGGATAAAACACTGCGTTGATTCCCTGCTACAGTTCCTTCGTTCCTAGCCTGATCTGTTACTGAGGCTCGGTTAAGTTTTGACATGGGTTTCCTTCTTCCTATAGCTACACGCTTTTCATATAGGTAGCTTCATTGCTGAAGTACAGATTTATGAGGTGGTTCTGATGTATTTCTTCTTAACCTATACATGCCTTCCTTTGATTCAAACAGGTATCGTATTGAAAGCAGTATTTCACCACTGGAGAATTTTTCATTCATGCCTCTGTGCCTTGTTAATCAAAGCTTGTTCTCTTTACCTACAGAGGAACCATCAACAGGTATGACTCCTCCTATGCCTACTAATACTTTTTCCTCAGTTTTTATAGTGTTTAAATAAATAGGATTTTATTTTTATTAACAATTATTTCAGGGTCATACTTTTGATCAGGCATAAAAACTAGAGGTCAGGAAATTTCCTAGCCTTCTTGTTTCTTTAGTCTGTGACTCCAGAGCTGTAGCTTTTTTTCATGCAGTTTTCACAGTATCTGAACAGATCAGTTAACATCCCTGTCAGTCCACTTTGGGGAAATACAACACCAGGTTGTCTCAAAATGTTCCTCTTTTTGACTTGAAATACTGTGATACTATGAGGAGGTGGGAAACGTATTTGGGCAATGGGTAAAAGTCATCAGGATGCTTTTTCATTGTACCACACAAGAGATAAAAGAATGAGAAATAGAGGTAGAGCAAAAAACTAGATCCCACTTCCTTTTACAGAAGAGAAAGTAGTTTAAACTAGGCTGAAACTTATCTGGGAGACTGAAACGTGTACGTGCACTAGCAGTATGCATATAAAGTAACTACTACGAAGTCAAAAGGCTCAGAGGCAACTATTAAATGATCACACACAAAATCCGCACACTGAGGATGGGATTAATCTCCTGACTCTTTAGCTACCTCAAAGGGAAGCATTTAGTCTGAACCATCTCTTTAGGCTCCCTTGATAGGTGGTCAAAGGAGACTACAGAGCTCTTGCATAGTGTGCCCCTTGCTGTTTACTTTAGGGTGGGTCAGATTGCCTCCTGGATGTGCCTACTGACAGTTGGAAACTTAGATGATTGGTGCATAGCAAAAGTTAGGTGAGATGAATCCCACAGTTAATTGTTATATTTTGTGATGGTGTTCCATCAATGTGTGCTAAAGCTGAATCGCACTGCTGTAATGTTGTATGTACACAGTGACATCAAACCATAGCATTGTACTGTAGTTTTCTGTGTCTCCATTTAGTAACGGATGTGGCTTCCAAACTTTCCAAGACTGCATGTCACTTAAGGCATTAATTTTTCCATCTTCACAATGAAAAGTTGAGAAAAGTGTATACTTAATAGCACTTGGGATTAATCTTTCATTTGAAGATTTCAGATACTGTTTTTCTTCATTTTATAAATGCACAAATTAAGGTACAGTTAGCTAAAGCATTTTCTTTTAAATTATACAGCCATTCAATTTATACACTAGAACCCATAGGTCCTCAAGCCTATGACTATACTTGGGTAACGTGATTGTTTCTCTATTAGTTTATGGACAAGCAAAACTGTGATGTTCATACATATGAGTCCATTTCCTGTGTAATGCAAAAACTGGTTTGAATTTGACCACATCTGCGTGTGGATTGCTTCACCCGTGTTTGCTGACAGCAATCTGGCATTGATAGAGAAGATGTAGGCTTGATCTCTGAACAGTAATGCTTTCATTTAGAAAGTCATCAGTTGCTGCTAACAAAGCCGGTTTTTGTTTGTTAACAAATTGGCACTGAGAAGTCTCAGAATGACAAAGTGGGCCACAGAGAACAGTGGAATCTGAAGCAGACTGTATGGGATGAAGAAATCCAAGGTCAGGGAGAGAAAGAAAGTACTAAAGGTCATAATAGTTCCTGATATAACTGTCCTGATGTGGGACAAACAGGATTGTGCTGCAGCACAGTGTTCTTCTGTTGAGTTATGTAGGAGGATGGATGTGAATAAATGAGAGCTAGATCCCCAGATAGATTCAGCAGGCTGGCCAGATATATTGTTATGGATCTTGATTTTGATCGAGAGTTGTATAAAGATCACAGTGAGTCAGAAACTTCCTCAGAGCAGTGCCCAGACGGGCAGATTGCAGGCTATTTTCCAGTGGGTGCCTGCTCAGGGAAACACTGACCTTCTGAATTGCAGAGGTATGATGGAGGTAGAAAACCTTTCTGTAACTTTTGGTGTCATGCACCAGTTATGGTGGAATTTATATATTATTGCCTAATCAGTATTTGTATTGTCCTCAAGATGTCCCAAATCTGAAATTGGATACCTGAACAAATAGCATCAGGACAGATGAAATTTCTGGATAGGGAGGTCATTGATGTGCAATGCAAAAATCTGTAGTGTTAGAACAGAGCTTTGTGGTAAGGATCTAAGCTGGGGTTTCCAGGTGGTGAGGACCGTCATACAGAGCGCCAGTTGAAGTTACCAGCAAACAGCCAATGATATAGACACAGAGGAATTTACTCTCCATGCGCTTTTCTGGGGGCTTATGAACATTAGTAAACCAAAACTTGCTTTCTTGGAAGCAAATGGTGGCACCTTCCTGAAATCAGGAAGTGTTCTGGTTTATTTCAGACAATGTTCTTATAATCAAATGACAACATACGGGCTTTATGCAACAATTACCTGAATCATTGCAAAAGACTCCTGAATTTCAGAGAGATAGTCATACTGGTCTTTACTAGCCCACTCTTCCAGACTGTTTAGGTCTCTCTGCACGATAGCTCTCCCTCCTGATGTGTCCACCTCACCGCCCAGTTTGGTGTCATCAGCAAACTTGGTGACAGGGCTTTCAATCCCATAATCCAGATCATTTATGAAGATGTTGAATAGCGTGGGGGTCCCCATTTGTCCCTGGGGGGACCCCACTTGTGACAGGCTGCCGGCCTGAGTAAAAGCCATTGATCACCACCCTCTGAGTGTGACCTACAAGCCAATTTCCCACCCATCTTGCAGACTGTCCCTCCAGTCTGTATCTTGCCAGTTTGTCTAGGACAAGGCTATGGGAAACAGTGGCAAATGCTTTGCTGAAGTCCAGGTAGACTTCAGCACCCACTGCCCTCCCCATGTTAACAGCAAGTATTACTTTGTTGTAGAAGGTGATCAAGTTAGTCAGGCATGATTTTTCATCCCTTCATCACCGATGTTCAGGCACTGTCTTGTCTGTCACCGACCATGAAAATGGCAGTTTTGATGAGGAACATAAGTAAAGGGAAGGGCCTAGGTTATGCAGTGGTTGGAATGCCAGGTGGTTGGACAAGGTATGGCATGGAGAAGGATGGGATTTAAACTCTACTCCAGCAAGTGCGACAGCTTCTTCCAGTTCTGGAGCCTTTCAAGTATCGTGACTACTTATTTCCCTGTTTTACAGGACAGACCTACCCATCAAAGTTTAAGCTGTTACTCAATTCTTTGTCTTCATCTCTAGAATTTAATTAATAGTTGGAATTAAAACATTAATTCTGGCTTCTTGTTTCATTCACAGAATGTGAAAAAGAGCCTGGGTCCTTGCTGTGGATATTTGTGATGGTTGGAAACATAGTACGAGGAATGGGTGAAACCCCCATCATGCCTTTAGGCATTTCATATTTGGAGGATTTTGCCAAAGCAGAGTATTCACCTTTCTACCTGGGTAAATCTACCCTATTGTGATAACTCCCCTCCTACAAATAAACACACACATAAACAAAAGCAAAAGAGAGGGTTATTACGACTTCCTTCCATCCAATAAAGGAAGACAGAAGAACATTACTGCCTTATCAAAATAATAATGCTGTAGAACTTGTAATTTAACTAGAGATGCACTCGTTGAAATGAGGCCATTTTTAGGCGCAAATGTCTACTCAGTAGAGCTGTCCTAAACATATATAACAATTCCAAGAAAATAATTATGTCTGGGTTCTAATTTAGTATGTTTTCTCCTTTTCATATTTTAGGATGTCTACATACAGCAACTGTAATCGACCCCTTCCTTGGTTTCTTGTTGGCATCATTCTGTGCAGAACTGTTTCTTGATCTGGGATCAGTAGATGCAGGTAATGGATGAATATGTAAAATCTTACACATAAATCAGTAGCCATGATGGTGTATTTATCAACATTAAAAGATGTTTCTTTGCTAATATGAGGTGTCTTCATTTTATCTGAGTTTGCTGATGTTTCTTTTAGAATGGAAAATCTGTGTATAATATTCAATTCAATAAAAGGCCTGAATTCACACATAGACAAATGAATTTGCATATAAATTATTTGACGAACAATTGTGTCATCTGGCTTAACATAGGAAAGGGCTAGAATTGATTTAATACAAAACACTGAAATTTGCCAGAAAATTAGCAACATTAGAAAAGAAAACTGGAGACTATTCTTTCATCAGCCTCATTTTAAGAATCTTTAAAATGCTTTTAATATATCACATGTCAGAGATGACTAGGAAAACACACAAAGACAGCAAAGAATGTTGGTGAACTAATGTAAAATATGTGATTTTGTTGTTTTGTTTTGTTTTTTTTTTATAGAGGACATAACTATAACAACTATGGGTTGGAGCATGGTGGCTGGGCATTTTGATTTGTGCAGCACTGAATCTTCTTGCAGGAATACCTTTTTGGTTTTTGGCCAAGTAGCTTGTGAAGGAAGAAGAAACAAATGAACCTGAGGAGACGAGTAAAAAAAGTGTAGAACTATTGCAAGAAAATGATAAAAATGAAGCCAAATAGACCATGTATGAAATTGCTAAAGGCAAGTTATATTGTATTTTTTTTCCTTCTTAATTTAGTCCTTAAAGTGTGAACTATGTCTGTGTATTTTTGTAAGTAAAGATGGGTCCAAGGTATGAAATGCATACTCTGTTTTTCATCTCTCTGTAGTACAAAGGATTTGCACAGGGATTTAGAATGGCTCCTTGCTGGCTGGAAAGCTGCCCAGAGGAAAAGGACCTGGGGGGGCTAGTTGACAGCCGGCTGAACATGAGCCGGCAGTGTGCCCAGGAGGCCAAGAAGGCCAACGGCATCCTGGCCTGTATCAGAAATAGTGTGTCCAGCAGGAGTAGGGAGGTGATCGTGCCCCTGTACTCGGCACTGGTGAGGCCGCACCTTGAATCCTGTGTTCAGTTTTGGGCCCCTCACTCCAAGAAGGACATTGAGGTGCTGGAGCATGTCCAGAGAAGGGCAACGAAGCTGGTGAAGGGTCTGGAGAACAAGTCTTACGAGGAGCGGCTGAGGGAACTGGGGCTGTTTAGCCTGGAGAAGAGGAGGCTGAGGGGAGACATCATCGCGCTCTACAACTACCTGAAAGGAGGTTGTAGCGAGGTGGGGGTTGGTCTCTTCTGCCAAGTAACAAGCGATAGGACGAGAGGAAATGGCCTCAAGTTGCACCGAGGGAGGTTTAGACTGGACATCAGGAAAAACTTCTTTCCTGAAAGAGTGGTCAGGCCTTGGAACAGGCTGCCGAGGGAAGTGGTAGAGTCACCATCCCTGGAAGTATTTAAAAGATGTGTAGATGAGGCGCTTAGGGACATGTTTTAGTGGGCATGGTGGTGTTGGGTTGACGGTTGGACTTGATGATCTTAGAGGTCTTTTCCAACCTTAATGATTCTATGATTCTATGAATCTGTGATAATTTCATAGATGTAGGATCTGAATTCACTCCTTTCCCCCTTCTGCATTTCAGCTGTATGTAAATCTGGAGCTTTTCTTCCTGGTAGAGAATTAATGCACTGAAATCTGGTTAAGAATATTACACCTCAGTGATCTGTGGACAAGTTGCAGATTAGTTGCTTGTACCCCACATTCACTATGCGGAAAAGCAGGAAACCAGCACAAGTCTTGTGCATTTCTTGAGTCCAACTTAAAGCCATAAAAGGGAATTCACAGGTGCTTAAGTGTCTCATAAACATTTAATGGCTGTTGAACAAGGATCTATTTGACTTACATTTATTCATGTTACCTTTGGCAACATTCACATCTGTGGTCTTTCAGATCTATATGTCTGTAGGAAGCTATTTTTTTTTCTTCCATTTTTTGTGCTAGTTGGAAATGTAAGTGAATGAAATACATCAAAGTCTATGATCTTCAGAGTAGTCTCGTGATTCAGTATACCCAGCTCAGGTCCCCTTGACAGGATCTTCATTTTCGGAAAGTAAGTGCCAAGTGCCAGTTACCTCTCCATGGTGTTTCAAGCTGAGCCCTGCAAATTCACCACACTCAGAGTGAGTACTCGGATCTTGGCTGATATTGCAATTTCATTTTGATAAACACAACATCTTTCTCTGCTGTCATGTAGCCTTAAATGAATCCATGAATAAAGTACTTCTCTGGTGAGGAAACGTTCCTAGCTCAGACTGTGGATCCTAGTACTCCAGAGTCCCTTCAGTGCTTATGTTTTCATCATCATTCCCTCCTTGTGTTGGTGTGAATGTCCACTGTCCCTGAATATCCTGAATTAAGAATCTTTTCATTTCACAGAATGGTTGAGGTTGGAAGGGACCTCTGGAGGTCATCTGGTCCAACTCCCTGCTCAAAACTCCCTGCTCAAGCAGGGCCACTTAGAGCTAGTTGACCAGGACGCATTCAGACAACTTTTTAATATTCCCAAGGATTTCAAGTTGAAAATGGAAGTATTTACAGTTAAAATTAATCTATTCCTCAGAAAGCTCTGATTATAAACTGCATGGCATATATAAATAATACAGCCTATTTATAGTGTTTCAGATATTTGACTCATTTTTGTAAGACTTGCATGCAGATCCTCTTCTAGTAAGATACTTGCCTACCTCTGAAAGAGATATATCCTTTCTAAGCAGTGCCCACTTTCAATGAAGCACAGTCATTGTTTTACAGATGCTTATGTTTTTCTGCAGAGTTTCTTGACAATAGCTCAGCACGTTAATTAATGGAGAATGTTAGATGAAAAGGAACCGTGTTTTTTTTTTTATGGTTCAGATCCTGACTTAATGGGCATTACGCAGAGAAAAGACCTGTGAAAATTAGTTTCTCAGATGCTTACTTGGTTCAGGACTGGTGGATCCAGACTTTGAGACTATGGTGGGAATAACTGTAGTCACCTCCCTCTTCAGGCCTCTTCTGCCTGTCACTGACAGTAGCAATAACCAAAATCAGTGATCAGGTCTCTGGGGGCAGGTTGTCACAGCTATCTAGTGCATTTGCACCCCTTCCCCCTTGTATTCCCTTCGCAGGCCAGGTGCAGGAAAGGGGTTTTGGTGAATGCTCTGAGGGCATGGGATGAGAGAAAAAGGATTAGGAATGGTGGGGGAGTAGCTGCCGCTGCAAATCCATAGGTGAAAATGGATATATATTTGACATATATATATATATGTGTCACTATACAGCTAAAAAGTTTCAGGAAACTTTTACGATAAGATTATTACTGTGATTTTTTATAAGCAGCAACATGCATTAGTTTGCATGTGTGTGTGCATGGCTATCTTTGTGTAGAAGAGACACGTTGGAGTAGCCTGGGCTAAGCAAGTAATCTTTGGCCTGTGGTGTCTGGCAAAGCACAAGAATTAGCCTGATCCAGTTAAGGACCATTCCTGTTTCCCTCTTCCCCCCTCATCCACACTGAGCAATGGGTGATTCATTTCATAAAGCATCACACTAACTCATTAAATTATTTCATTCCAGATTTCATCCCGTTCCTCAAGGCTCTGTTTCACAACCCGGTTTATATGTTATTTATATGCATAACTGTGTTACAGTTCAGTGCCTTCAATGGCATGATATCCTTCATGCCCAAATATTTGGAAGAGCAGTTTGGAAAATCTGCATCGGATGCCATCTTTTTAATTGGTACGTTTGCATTTTGCTTTGTTATGTTCTACCAAGTAGTGATGTCTCTATGCAAATTCTCTCTATTTATATATATATATTCATGTATACATACTACATATACATACTAAGGTTAAATGCTCCTACAAATGAGAGATTCCACACTACAAAGCATTTCTAAATAATCATGCATTTTCTGCTAAGCATCTCCTGATTTTCTGTGCAGAATTTAATAATCCACTTTCCATTTTTTTAATTGGCCCAGAAAATTCAGCTGATGTAAAACTTGCACCACTGATCTCAAAGATGATATGCTAATTTGCATCAAGAGAGCGTGGGCCCAATTATCTTGATTATATTGTCTTGATTAAGTATACTATAAAGTAGAGGGTACATTTCATGTTCATGAAAATGACATCGCTAGAACTCTTAAGCCATAGATGGGTTGAACCTATGCACAGCTAAAATTGCCAGTGATCTTCAACATTTCCCATCATCTCCACTCCTCAGGTATTGGTCTTGGGCCTTCTGAAAGCCTTAGATCCTCTTTCATATACAGAACTCCGTGGAAGTAAAGCACTGACCAAATAGCTGTCTTTTTTTGTCTCTTCTTTATCAGCTTGCCTTTTTTTATGAGTGAAGACAAGGAGGTGTCATGCATTGGGAAATGGTAATGGCAAGTAGTTGTAGCACAAAGCAAATATTCTGAAACTGTAGGAGCCTTTCTATGGTTCCACTTTATCATGTCTTAAATTCTCAGTTCCCTTGTTTAACTGCAGTGACTTAATTAGACTAGAATTTATCTAATCATTATACAAGAAACATCTTAAAATACATCTAGCCATACTTCTGTTCCTTAACTCAGTGCTCATCTTTCACAGTAGCTGCACCATTTTCTTTAAAACCTGCTACACAAGATGTCCCAGACCTTATGAGTATTACTGTTGCCCTCTGTTACCAGTGTTTTGAAGCTGTGCATCCAAAGATGTGTAACTATCATACATCTTACCTGTGTTGTGTTGACATTGCACTGCTTGTTTGTTTTTCAGGCAGCTACTTCCTAAATGTCTTTCAGTCAGTCTTTGCTTCATTAAAGTATCAAACAGCAAAGAAGCGTGAGAGCATGTTCAGTAATCTCATACCAAAAGTGAAAGTCTCTTCCTCTTTTCTGTGATGCTCAGCGTGCACCAGGATGTGCTCCATTAGCTTATCTTTCTGTTAAGTTTCTCTCTCAGCTAGTATTAAAACCCTGGTTTTTTTTTTGTTTTTTTTTTTTTTGTATTGGAACTAGAATGCAACTCTAGATTACAATTTTTCAATGAATCATTTCAGTCTTACCCTCTAGCTCACTCTCCAAGCAGATCCCAACTGCTGTTGACTTTGGCAGAAATTTTGGCTGTGCAAGGGAACTAGTAGAGATCCATTTCTGACTGTAGTTAAATTATTCAGTCACATGAGTCTTTGCCAAACACAGTCTTCCCTTATGAGTAGCTTTATTTTAACATGGAAGTTTCACTTGTTTAAATAGGTGTTTACAACTTACCAATTATATGCGTTGGGTATTTTTTTGGAGGCTTATTCATGAAGAAATTCAAGATCAATATCTATCAGACTGCGAACATAGCATTTTGGGTATCTTTACTGGAATACCTTCTCTACTTTGCTGCCTATTGGACTGTCTGTGATACTTCACCAGTTGCTGGCCTAACAGTTTCCTATGAAGGGTATGTACTTTAAGACACTAGAGGACTTAAATCTTAAGACACTGGAATGATTTTTCTTGTCAAGAATTGGCCAGGGACTCCATAGTTTGGCAACATTTTAGTTTCATGATCTAAATTCTCAAAGCTTTTCACTTGCGTGAGACAATAGGTCTATTTTCTATTATCCCTGTTTTAAACAATAAAGTGTATTAAAAAAGAGATCCATATCAAGACTCATGCAATTGCATGTCTGTATTAATTCTTTTACTAATGTAATTATACATTCAAGTCATATAACTGCAGGTAAAAATAAGAAGTTGTTGATCAAATTAGGCATACATGAATGCAATTTCAGAATTACAGAGGGACAAACCCCTTTCTTTATCTTATGCTGGTTTACTGGAATTT